AATAGCTGAGGGCAGAGCTTAAGATCTGTAGTAATACAGCGAGATAGGGCTAGTAAACTTTTGGTCTTTGTATACGTTTCAATAACCGCGGAACATACGGATGTCGACGTTGGTCGACGATCGGAGAAAACAAAGTCACTTTTGGCCAATCTATTGTCAAGAAAATAGAAAGAGATGAAAGGTTTGCGCGTAATTTGCGCATGTCATTGATATTCACAGGATTGTTCATTTTCACAGTGTCAGCAATACATCGAGAAAGCGTTAAGTCATCCGAAATCTTCAGGAATATGGTGCCGAATGCTACGATCAACTAATTGCATGATCAAATTATGTTCCACTCCACTACACGGGCTCGAATGTCTGACCGGGGTCGTAGGGCGCAAAGAACATGCGTTGATGGATGACATTCCATTGGAATTACAGTCCAGGGACCGAGCATTCCTCGCCAAAAGCAAATTTCGCTAACGACACCCAAAATCACCGAGATAGCATCGGCATGACCTTCATGTTCCACGGCCGCTTCCCTTTCGGGTCCAGGAAATTGAAAACCGCACTTAGAACACCTGTTATGATTTATTTTTGCCAACCGATGTGTGCGGAAAGGAACGAGAAAGGCGCGGAAAGAAACGAGAAAGGAGCGCAAAGGAGCGGAAAGAAACGGGAAATTGGCGGAGGGGAACGGGAGAGGCGCGGAAAGGAACGAGAAAGGAGCGGAAGGGAACGGGAGAGGCGCGCAAAGGAACGAAAAATGCGCGGAATGGGACGGTAACTGCGCGGAAAGACGCACGTGGAACTTGAAGGAAAGTAGGAGAAAGCTACGGAACGTGACCGAAGGGAGCCGAAACAAACGGAACGTTGCTGAGAACATCAGCGTCGGACGGAGGCGAGAGGACAGAACCGAAAGCAATGTCGGAATGTCGTCTCAAGGATGAGAGATGGCCCATTACTGTTTCTTCCTGAATAAGCTGCTCCATCGAATCATCCGGCAGGGTAAATCATTTTTCTTTTGCTCTTCGAGGCTATACGCCTATTCTGTCATAGCTGACATAGTCCTCTTGCTGATGAGCATGATGGAACATGCCTTTTAGGTGAGGATGGATGTGAAGGGACCTGCAGCACATGGGTCACAGCGTATCAACACACTCGCGTCTGTTTCAGCAACGTCGACGGTTTAAACCAGCACTATTTCACAAATCGTAGCTATCTTCATGACAGATACAGTGGTTATCAGTAGTTTTTGAACAGCCGGCTGTTCAACTACACGGGTATATTTATTATTATTCTTCGTTTCAGTTCCGCTGCAACCGCCACTGGCAGTGCCGAAAATGGGCAGCACGAGGCAAATAAAACACATTATTTCACCCTTGCACACACTATGTTTTTACCAACCGGGCGAATCGGGATTTGACGCTAATCGACGGCCCGCGACATATTGAAATTTTCCATAACCGATCGTGCTTCCCTTCTGCTATTCACGCCTTTATTCGTGTGGTTGATCCTGAGGAATGGCTCCTTACGACTTAGGATTGCAGGGAATACCGTAAAATGTGATTATGGAGCCAGCTCTGAAGCTATAAATAGTGAGTAGACTAACGCCCACTCTGTATAACCAGTGATTGAGAACCAGACTATGTTCTAGTTCGAATTCGAATGCGAGGAGCCGTCGAGATCTTGAGGTGGAAATGTTGGCGTTCACAATTACTGATCATGCTTCTCCTCCACAGTTGACGCCTTTATTCGTGTCGTTGATTCTGAGGAGTCGCTGCTTGCCACTGAGAATTGCAGGGAATGCCCTAAAAAAGATCTTGGAACCATCTCCAGAGCTTTAAATAATGATTAGACTAATGCCTACTCTGTATAACCGAGGATTAAGCACAAGACCCTGTTGCAGTTCCACTTTGTATTCGAGTAGCCATCCAGATCTTATGGTGGGATTTTTGGCGTTTTCCAAAATTGAGTGTCCTTCTCTTCTATCGTTGACGCCTTTATTCGTCTCGTTGATCCTGAAAATTGGCTGGTTAGGACTTAGGACTATAGAGAATACCCTAAAATACGATCTAGAAACCACCTCTAAAGCAATAACTAATGATTAGCCTAACGCCAACTCCGCATAACCCGTATTGAGGACAAGAATCTGTTGCAGTTCAACTCCGAATTCGAGTGGCCATCCAGATAATATGGTGCCTTTCTCAAAATACTGCCGGCTTCTCTTAAACCGTTCACCCCTTTATTCGTGTTGATGATCCTGCGTAATGGCTCTTTACGACTGATGACTGCAAGGATTACCCTAAAATGCGTTCGTCGAACCAGCTCGAAAGCTATAAATAATGATTATTGCGATAATGATTGCGAATATTGGCGTTTTCCAAAAGTGAGCGTGCTTCTCCTCCACCGTCCACGAATTTATTCGTGTCGATGATCCTGCGGAATGGCTCCTTACGACTCATGACTGCAAGGATTATTCTAAAATGCGATCGTGGAACCACCTCTAACGCTATAACTAATCATTAGACTAACACCCACTCTGCATAACCCGTGACTCATTAGAACACTGTGATCGCAGTTCCACTTCATATTCGTGTAGTCATCCACATCTTGTGGTGCAAATATCGGCGTTTTCCCAAGTTGAGGGTGCCATTGTTCCACCGTTCTCGCGTTCATACGTGTCGTTGATCCTTACGAATGGCTGCTTACGACTGCTAATTGTAGGAATATCCTAAAATGCAATCGGAGAGCAATCACTAAAGCTATAAATAATGATTTGATGAATGCGGACTTAGCATCCATCTTCATCTTCCTTGACCGCTTCTCCTTCCTGGTAGAGGAGGCAGACGCGTCAGACAGCGCAGCCAATCTTCCCTATGCTGTGTCAGATCACAGCTTCGGGACAAGACAACTACTTCCATATATCTGCACCAGGTTAATGTTAGCCGTTTGCTGGGCCTTCTATCGGTCGGATTTGCAAGGAACAGTAGCTTAGCTTTGCTTTCTGGAGGCATTCGCAAAACATGCCCAAGTGATTGCAGCTGTGTCTTCTCAATCTGGACTATCAAAGGCTGTATTCCAGGGCTCTTCAGGATCCGCATGTCACAATTCCGGACCATGTCGAGACGCATAAGGCCACCGACTGGTTTCAAAGCCCATTTCAGCAGCTTGTACCCGGGTTCGAAGTTTCTCAGTGATCGTACACGATTCATGACCGTAGATAAGTATGGGGATAAAGATCGACTTGAATATCGAGAGCTTAGCTTTCAGACTCATCTTTGGTTTACTCATAATGGATCAAGCTACTTCACGCAAAACGCCGCTGGCTGCTCCAATCACCGGTCGATCTCTTCCTTCAATTTTCCATCACTAGTAAATACAGTTCCGAGGTACTTAAACTTCTCCTCCTGCTCCACTATC